AAATTGTTAGCCTAGATTTAGGAATTAGAGATAAGTTAGGGATTTAGATCTGTGCTGTTATTGATCTCAATTGAACGTAATTGATTTAGTTATAGATTTGGACTTGTAATTGATTTGATCCTCTGTAAATTTCGGATTTCATATATGGATTTTCTGCAGATTTGATTGTGCTGTAAATTTGTTCTGATTTGTAAAAGATTTCACTTGGATTTGATTTTGTTGTATTCTGCAATTTTAGATATATACTATAATGAAGATTGATGTAATTTTAGGTTTAATTTCTACAGTATTTGTTTATTGGAAAAACGTGCGCCAATTGGGTTATGATTAGAACAGTAAGTGTTATTAATCTTTTGGGTTTGTGCTATTATATGAATCGAATTGGGCTTTTAGCATTTTCTCAGCAACTGAAAACTCTTAATAGATTAAGTCCACAAAATCAGTTTACAAAACCTTTTTCTTTTATAAATAATAAATTAAATCTCTTATTAATTCAGAAAAGAAAAAAAAGAGTTTAAATAATAACGTTTTTTTGTTAAGACAAAACAGTAAAGGACAAAAACGTTAATTGGGCTTGGCATAAAACAAAACCCAATGGGCCTGTAAATTCAGAATTATACTCCCTTCTTTACTGTTTTCTATTAAAAGAAGCGGGCCAATATGAATTGGGCTCGTATTTTGCGAATTCAACCTCTCCTTGTTATGTAAACAGAAATGACAATGGGTCTTTAATCTGAAGTTTTCACCTCCTCTTTTACTAACGACAATAAATCCTAATGGACTTAATAATAATTAAAAACTTAATAATTATTTGAAATAATTTTCCATTTTCTAATCTCATGGGCCACTGGGAGTGGGTCAAGAATGTTCACACTACATTGGTAGAATGGGTAGGGCATTGTGGCATAATGAACGATTTTAACTAGTGCATGATGCAGATGGCGTGCCTTTAGAATTTGTCGCATTTCCTAACGAATACCTTATATTCCTTCATCAGGGTGAGCCAATAATAGCTTGTCGTTAGCAGCTATGGGCAGGGCTCGCCCATAAATGTGACTTCCACAAGTCCCTTGGTGCACCACAGTGAGGACTAAGATGGTTTCATGTTTGTTTAGGTATCATAGAACGGGGGAGACCCTTCCCATTTTGTAGATCCTTCTCGATATCATAATGTACTTTACTGCACACTTACGAATTTTCTTCTCCTCAAACTCGACATGTGGTAGTTCATCTAATTATAGATAATGTATTATGGGCACCATCCAGACAATGGTCTTGGCAACTTCAAGAACATTGATCTCACCCGCCTCAATACAAGGGACAAATAGAGTCTTCTAAATTATAGTTTAGTTGTACCCTATTATTTTTGTGCTAGCGAGTTTGGACAAAAGGTCCGCTCTGAAATTTTGTTCCATGGGCACATACATTATCTCTAAAGCTTTGAAATGTTCTGATAAGTCATGTACCTTTTTTTAGATATTTAATGAGATAGGGCTCCTTCATTTGATATTCCATGGTGACCTGATTTTCCACCAATTAGGAATTACTTTTGGCCTTCAAATTCAACCCGTCCATCTCAAGGATAGGACCATGTCAATAATGATAGCTTCATACTCGGCCTGATTGTTGCTAATCATAAACTTAAAGTTCAACGAATTCTCAATTAACAAGTTTCCTAGTCCTTCCAACATGATCCCAGCACCACTCCCTTTTAAGTTAGAGGCGCCATATATTGATGGTGCCCATGTAGGGAGAGCCTCCTCATCTACTAACAAACTGAATTCTACCAAAAAAATAGCCAACAAATGTGATTTAATGCTTCCTCTAGGTATATAATGAATTCCGTACTTGAATAATTCAACTTCCTAGGATACCATCCTTCTTTCTAAATTGGGATTTCTCAGGACCTCTCAAATGAGGTAGTTGCTTTTTACCATTATCTAAAGCCCATAAAAGTAGGGCTTGAGTTTCCTTACGGTTATCACGACTGCCAAATAAACTCTCTCAATCTTATGGTATCAGGCATCGATACTTTTAAACACCTTGCTCACAAAATAGACAAGTCACTCCAACATATTTACTTCTTGGACGAGCATTGAGCTCGTCGCCTAATTAGTAACAAACAAACAAAGGTATACGTATAACCTACTATTGGGCGTGTTAAGATGGGTAGTGATTCTAAGAAAGCCTTTAATTTTTAGAATGTCTCCTCGCATTCGCTCATCCATTCAAACTTTTCCTTTTACTTTAGAGTGACAAAGAAGTGAAAAACCTTTTCACTTGCACAATAATGAAATACAATAGGGCAGATAAGTGCCTTGTTAGTTGTTGAACTTATTTAGCATTGGAAGGGATCCTCATATCAATGATGGTCTGTCACTTGTTTGTGTTTGCCTATAAACCCCTCTTGGTTAACATAAAACCAAGAAACTTGCCTGTTTACTTGCCAAATAAGCAGTTGGCGAGATTCAAGCGCATGTTGTAGTTCTTGACCGACCCTTTAATATCTTCTAAGCATGTTTCTTGGCTCTTCCTCTATGAGGTCTTTATTATAATGTCATAAATATAGACTCTATATTGTGCAATATTTGCTTGAGAACATTGTGTCCATGAGTCTTTGGTAGGTGGCACATGCATTCTTTAGCCCAAAATGCACGATGTTGTATTAATAGTTTCCATGGTTGAACATTAACGTTGTCTTGGACACGTCCATGGGGTCCTTATTGATCTTGTTATTTCTGGAATAGGCGTCAATGTAGCTCAATGTTTTGTTTCCAGAAGATCCATCAATCAGACGATCTATGTTGGGTAAGGGATACATATCTTTGGGGAATATGGCGTTAAGGTTAGTGAAGTCGATGCACATGCATCATTCATTAGATGTATTCCTTACCAAGACTTTGTTTGCCAACCAGGATGGATATTTACCTTAGTTATAAAACAGACACTCGTCAGCTTCTACACTTCTTCATCAAAGACTGCTATATTCTCTCCTCCCACCTTATGTTTCCTTTAAGAGAGTAGTTTAACGATGGAATCAATGGCGAGTCAATGACACACCAATCTATTATCAATATCTGGCATATTAGAGGGTGCCTAGGCAAACAAATTTCCATTCCTCTTGAGTAGGGTGACCAACCGTTCATGTCAAGACTCAGATAAAGAGGTACCCAACTTATGACTTGGTGAGCCTTTCATTTTCAGTCCCCAATCTAGGATCCCGACTTGCTACATCTATCTCTCGTGCTTCTAGATGGAGGCAGAGCATGGGGAGACATGAACCCTTCTCATTTCTAGGTTGTTCTGATAGATGGCACATTTTAGAAACAAGTATTGATGGCAAGATATGGTGATTTGCAACATGTTGTGCCTATGGAGATTGATTTAAAGAAAAACAAAAAATCTTTAGCTTGGTGGAAGGATACTCATCATGCTGGTGCGCATAGAACCAACAAATTTGATTGTTTTGCAGGTAACATCAATTACAAATTAGGCGCAGGAAGGAGAACTTTGTTCTGGATCACCAGATGGATAAAGAACTCTCCTCTTAAAATCTGTTTCCCAACTCTGTTTAGAATGACAAGGAAGCCACTAGGGAAGATCAATGAGATTGGTAAGATGCAGGCTGAAGACTGGACTTGGGATCTGCATATTTCAGCAGAGGCAATTCTAGGGAACCCGATAACAGAAGAAGTGTTTGGTCTTATTGAGATACTGACAAATATCAAACCTACCTGTGGAGACATTGATGTGATTAAATAGTGGCCAAATGAAGATGTAAATTTTAGTGTGAAAAGTTGTTATAATTTTCTGTGTGAAAGGGAATCAGAAGACGTGTTGAAAGTGGATACAAAAATGACTCTAAAGAGGACATGGAAGAGTAACATACCTTCAAACTTAAAGGTTTTTGGTTGGAGAGTGATGTTGAACAGACTCCCAACAAGAGATCAACCGATGAAGAGGAGGATCATTCAAAATGAACATGACAAGGCATGTGTGTTATGTTTTGAAAAGGAAGAAGATTTAGTTCACTTATTTTTCAAATGCAAAATAAGCCATAAAGTATGGGGGAGCATATATTGTTGGTTGGGTATGAAGGACATGGATGGTTATGATGGCTTGTTTCAATATAAACTTTTCACATAAGCAAGAAGAAACTCAGCTTAGTGTGGCTGGCTACAGTTTAATCCATATGGAATTTGAGAAACAACATTCTATTCAAAGGTGATTTATGTGTTTTAGATGGTCTTGTTATGAATATCAAAGTGGTGTCTTGGTTATGGGATGCTATTGATAATAGAGGAAAAGATGCATAATAATGTATAATTGATTGCATTTTCCTCTAGATTTTCTAAGCTTTGATTGAGTATTGTACTGGGCATGAGTACTCCTTGAACTCTTATTAATAAAATTTCCTTATAAAAAAATATAAAGTTAATTAATAATAAAAAATCAAGTATTTGAAAATAATAGGATACGGTGTATATGTTAAAACTGGTGTGAAAATAGCGTTTCTCATTTCAAAAACACGGCACAAGTATTTTTTTTTTATGGCAAAAACTCGTGCTCAAAGTATGTCAAATGTTTTGATTTTACCACCTTCTGCCATAAGACTTAAACTATGATCCTCAAAATAACAAAATCAAACTTAATATTAAGCTGACAACATCTAAAGGATAGTAGTGCAAATATCCAAGTTATTCTGTTACAAACTTTAGTAACAAGTGGAAATTTACAAGTATTTTACTTATATTCCTCAAACTGCATCACACTGCATTTTGTAACTTTCTTCATACATAGAATTAACATGAAAGGAAATCGACATTACAGAGTTTCCAATGGTCTATTACTTTCTTGTACAACGGAATTATTTAGTTCGATTTTAGAACCTTTTGAAATGCCTTCCAATTATTGAAAGGAGTCTTTTGTGCAAGCAAGCTTAAGCAAATTTATCTAGACTAAAGAGGGCCAATTCGGGAGAATTATGACGCTATTTTCGACTAGTGTCCGAGTTCCTGTGTAAAATAAAAAGGGTTTTTATGTAAATTATTATGGACGCTAAGTATCAAAATACGATCCAAACAAACATGATCAAAATATGATTTCATTTGAACCGATTGATTCGGTTTTTGATATTTAAAACGTTGCTTCAAAGAATGCTATATTTAGATTTTATACTACTTACCAACTTACATGTCTGCATTGTCACAAGAGACCCCATTTCTTGAGCACATTGATACTGCTTGCCGCATAATCTCTGAATTTCTTCTTTGACCAAGTTCATCATCATCTTAAAATGAAAAATTGAGACAAAAAGTCGATAAGCTCACACTCATTGAATGTTTTTTATATAAAATAAAACTTCGGTGAATGTGTACATTTACTACTACTAACATACTTCATGCTCTTGGCGCGACGATTCACTTCTATTCTCCTTCAAGCTCTGCAAAGTAATGATAGGAATATAACAATGAGTCACTAGGGACAGTTTAGCTCGAGTAAACATGTTCCATTTTCACTTCTACTTACAAAAATGTAGTTTTGTTTTGTCGTAGTAGTTAATTCGTATAGGTCTGTGTAAAGATTTTTCTTTTTATACTGCCGATCAATCTTAATCGTCAGATGAGTAAAAATGTATAACTTCAAGCATAACTATGTTTAAATAGGAAAGCGAAAACAAAATTGTTTTTTCAATTTTTTGTGTGACTTGAAAATTAAAATGTCGGTCTAAATAAGTCCTTAGTTGTCATAAGAATACCAAGAGAGATGAACCTTAGAAATTGGCTTTTCCTTTGATTGTGATTTTGCAGTTTGTTTGTCTTCAGAAGTTAGAGTGAGCTGCAAAAGAGGCCATAAAATCATAAAACAAAGATAGAAAAAAAGAGAAATTAAAATTAAAGCAACAAAAAAAAAACATTCCAATTAATTATTGCCTTGCTAAGTAATTCTGTTGGTGGTTCATCTTCAAATATCTTGTCATTTTGTTCCTAAAAAGACGAAAGAAAATAAATTACAATGAAAAAACACAGATCACTGTTGTCGAATAGCGGAACCATAACGTTATAGCGTAGGAAAGTTTGAGCAAACTGCTACAATACAATATCCGCAATTGACAATGACACAAATACGATAAAATTTAAATATGTCTTCAATGCATTACCAATGGAAATACTTTGATATTCCGAAAAACACCTCTTTCTCCTTTATTTGTGAGTTTCTGAGCACAACATATATAAAATCAGTGATTTATTTTGACGAAAAATGAAACAGAAACAAAATCTGCAGTTGTAATGTTATAAGGCTAAAATGTTAATGATTACTTGCCTTATCATCGGTGCTCATTCGGAGTTTGCTAATCACTCTGCAAGAAATAGAACAGAGTAAAGTTATTATTTCTCATGAGAATACACACAAAAGTTACTAGTATGAATCTATGTAACACCAACGCTTCATATTGAATGTGTGTCTGGTGTCAGATACCGACACTTTAGATTGAACATGTCTGATATCTGATACTGGCACATGTTACATTCAATTATTTATATATTCTTAAACTATTACACTGTCTACGTGTTAGTGTCGATGTCATATTGAATGTCAATATATGTATTAGGAACTCTCAGGCAGGAATAACCCTAGGGCTGAAGGTTACCTGGTTTCACTATTTGAGATGGAACTTGTGTTCAAAGTACCTCCACCCTGCAATCGAAAATATATCAAGGTAACTTTGTGAATATCATTCTCTAATTACAATAGAAACATCATAAACTGTAAATACCTACTTTTTTAGTTAAGGGCCGCGCTTTAGGAACCTGAAAACCTGATTTTGTATGTTCACCGGATTCAGTATTAGTTCTACACCTATGAAAAAGGAATATAACCACTCAACATTTTGTTATATAAGATATAGTCATTCAATAAAAAGGTTGTAAAACAATGTTTATTATGAGATTAGAAGTAATTAATATACTTGTGTCTTTGTGATCTGAGTGCTGTTTGGAGATTAGGTTCTCTAGGAATAGTAGTATTCGGTTTAGAGGCTAAATTTACATCGGCACGACCAACCTGCATCAAATATTTAAAATCAGACATGTATCATCTTTGTATATGAAAAAAAATAAGAAATCTGAAAATCCAAATCAAACAAACAATAGATCAGCAGCTATTGCGTTGTGGAATTTGAGCAAATCGCTACTTTACCGATCTGCGATTCACAACACTATAACAAATTAAACATCCTTTAAAATTGATTACCTCTTTATTTTTCTTATGCATAAGAAGAGTTTGATGCTTCAAGTGTGCAGCCTGTCATGAATAAAAAAAGAATCCAACCAACTCAATCAAATACCAACGATTAACTTAAAATGGGGGAAAAATTGAATTCGGCTAAAGTATGGTTATTAGTTCAAAAAATTTAGACGAATTTCGTCATACCTTGCGCAAGTAACCGGCCTCAAGCTTCTGCCTTTTGGTTAATGAGCAGTCTATGGATGAAGAACTTTTTTCCTGATTTCTGCTAGGATTAAGGTAGACAAAACAGAAAGTTGATACTTTCTTTTAATTAATTACCCAATATGCGATTGACAACACTAATTTACTCGATCGAACAATGTTGTTCAAATTATGCTACAATACTATAGCACTGCTAAAGCTACTATTTTACAATACTTTGTACTAGTTTATCACGTAACAATAACGATTTTTTTAAACACAATATAGCGCCGGTATAGGAACTATTTGGTTTCTTAAATGTAACTGATACCTTGTGAAATGTTGAGAGGTTTGAATTTCTGGAGGGTTCTTCAGCTTGGCCAAATGACTTGCGGTTGGTTTCATAAATGGGAAAACTTTAGATTTGGATGAACTGGACCTGCTTAGAGTCTTTACCTTACCGTCCAAAGTATCTTGTGATTTTTTATCGCAATTTTTCACTCCTGAAAACAAAAATGTATAATGCCGTCGTCATCATCATTTTTATAATTTTGATAAAAAAATTGCATAAAAAATTTCATAAGTTTTATATTGCAGTCACATTCGCGACCAAAGTCGTGTCAAGATCACCGTTTTTGATATTACGGTCACATTCGCGATCAAAGTCACGTCAAGATCAAAACTTTCGATCTTGCGGCCACATTCGCGATGCCATACCTTGTTTTAAAATCTTGCAACAAGGCACAATAGAAACATTGATGCACAAAAATGAAATTTTTTACCTCTACTATCATTGTCTTCCATTGTCGAAACTTGTTGAGGATCAACACATCCATTCGCATTTTTTATATCACCACCATTTCCCCATTTAAACTTCGACACAAATGCTACACACAAAAACAACACATTATAAACACGAAACCAATCAAAAACTAAACAACATTCCCCACAGGTTTAACAACATTCTGTCAAATTCACCGCAAATAGAAACATGCACTTCAATTACACACAAAAAAAAACTTTTTTTTTTCAAAAACAACAACAAAAAAACATAACAACGAGGTTTAATCATAATCCTTAAATCCTTACGTGAAGGTGGATAACTTGTTGCAAATTCAAACCATTGTTCGGCTTCACAATCATCCAAAAACGATTCCGGTTTGGTAAAATCAAAAAACATAGGAGCATCAAATTCATATGTAACATCAATCTCATCCTCCAAACAAAGACAAGACTCATGAACCTCAACCTCCACGAACCCTTCCATCTTTTTTATATTCCTCTCATACAAAAACAAAAAATCCTAACGACCCATCATCAAAAAAAGAAGCAAATTCAAAAACCCAATTCAGAATCAAAAACAAGTTTCGATTTTTCAATGATTCATCAACAAGGATCTTCCAACCGAATCCCGTCTCCGCCTCTCCCGTTTCAAGGAAAATTGTGATTTTTCCCGGAAAACGAGAGAGAAAGATATGAATGGTGATATGTTAATTTTGATTATTACTAGAGTTTTTTTTTTTTTTTGATGAAGTGAAAGAGTGAGAAGAATAATGATTTGGTAATAATTGAAATTGAAAGAATGGAAATGCAAGAGTTAATGTTGTCGGAGAAAATGGCGAAGATTACGTTGATGAGAATATATAAAGAAGAATGACAGAAAGAGAGGGGAGAGAAAAACAGAGATGAAATTGAAAATATGAAGAGTTTGTTTGGTTTTTTTTTTGTCTTTTTCTTTATATGGTGCAGGCCTAAGATAGTGACAAGATAGATTATTATTACCAAATTTTGAATTTTTTTTATCATTATTTTACTATATTATTACTCATTTTTGTAACTTCATTAAAAAAAAACAAAGTTATTTTCTTTTTAGATTTTATTAAAATTTGTTGTTTAAAACATTTTTTTAAACTATTTTTTCTATAGTTGGTGCCGCTTCTTTATTTCTTTAACTATATTACCCATTTTTGCAACTTAATTAAAAAACAAAGTTATTTTTTTCTAAAACTTATTAAATTTGTTGACCATCTCTAACTATGGAAATATAACATCACACTTCTGCACCCTCTTCACCAAGTGGATAGTATACATGTAGAGACTTCGTACACTTTTTTCTTTGCTTTATTATTATTTTAGTAATGATTTTTTTTAAAATTTTAATCTAATAAAAATAACTTATAATATTATATTGGAGTAACAAAGTAATAATTTAGCCTGAATAATTATAGACTTCTTTCATTTCGCTTAAAGTTGTATTGTTTCTGTCTCTAATAGACGAAGTATAATGACTCATGTGTTGATGTTGTGGTAAGTCGGATACTTCTGAGACACACTCCTTAAAATCTTTGGTGTTTTTTTTCTATGGTTCTCTCCTTAAAATCTTTGGTCTTTTTCTTTATGGTTCTCTCTTCACCTTTGATGTAACACTGAATTTGTGCCATAATTTCATTTATGTAGATAACGAGTTTGTGGGTGAGAGACTCATTAAAATATCTAGTTGTTAAATCGTTTTGAAATACTCCCACGATCATCTACTGGATCTGGTGAATTATATTGATGGTTTCTTAATTAAAACGTATGATGCACGCTCCTAATGACTCGAAGTGTCTATGGCAGACATTGAACAAGCTAGCGATGGATACCTTTAAGTGCTTACTCGCCAAAAATTGGTGGGTTAATTTCTTGGATAAATTCTGATAACTGTTTACAAAGAGGTGAGGTGTTAGAATTAATTTAGATTTAATTAGATATTAATTTATATTTAGGAATATCTTTTAGATTGTTTATATCTTTGTTAGAAGATATATATCTTAGATCTTCTTATATCTTCGTAGAAGATATATTTTAGATTTAATTTGTGTGTATAAATAGCCTAGTGGAGTAGGTTATTGTAAATCCTTATAGTTTGAAGCTATCAGTAAATATTCCTTTTGCCTTTTATCTTTCTTGTGCTCCAACAATTGGTATCTAGAGCTCCTGGTTAGAAACTCTGGAATTTGGGAAACATTGATTTTTCATTGAGTTTCTGCGTAAATTACACAAGGTAGAAGATGAACGGAAACAGCGATATTCATTCCAAGCTTCCAGTATTTGATGGCAAAAATTGGAATCGTTAGAAGATCCAGATGTGCGTGTTATTTGGTTCTCAAGATGTGTTAGATCTTGTCACTGATGGCTATAATCTGTTAGAAGCATACGCAACAGAGGCCCAGAAGATAGCACAGAAGGCGCTGAAAAAGAAAGATCAGAAAGTGTTGTTCTACATCCATCAATGTGTGAATGTGAATGTGTTTGAGAAGATTGCTGATTTTGAAACAGCAAAGGTTGCGTGGGACACACTGGTCAGATGTTACAGTGGTGACGCATCAGTTAAGAAGGTGAAGCTTCAGGCTCTCAGAAAGCAATATGAGAATCTCAACATGAAGGACAACGAGAAGGTTTCTGAATACATCTCTAAAGTGATTCTGATCACTAATGAGATGAAAACTTGTGGAGAAACTCTGTCTGAACAAGTAATTATTGAGAAGATCTTGAGATCTTTAACTTCTCAGTTTGATTATATTGTTGTAGCAATTGAACATTCCAAAGATCTGAGCACTATGAGAGTTGAAGAGTTGCAAAGTAGTCTAGAGGCGCATGAGTTACGTATGACTGCAAGAACTTCTGAGAGGGAAGTAGAGCAGCAGGCTCTAAAAGTAACTTCTAGTAAGAAGCATCAGAAGCAGACCTGGTCAGAAGCCAGGAAGAGAACTAATGGTGGTCAAAAGTCAGAAGCTTCAAACTCTGGTAGGCAGAAGAATGTCCAAAAGGGAAAGGAGAAGTCTGGTAAGAACAATGTTCAGTGTTACTGTTGTAAGAACTTTGGTCACTATGCCAGAGATTGCTGGTCCAACAAAGAAAGGAAGTCAGAAGAAGCAAATATAGCAAGAGGATACTCTGATGATGAACCTTTTCTATTGTTGGCTTCTGAACCTAATGATCTGAATTCATCAGAATGGTGGTATATGGACACAGGGTGTTCAAACCATCTTACTGGAAACAAGAAGTGGTTGGTTGACTTTGACTCTGGGAAGAGTACAAAGATTAGATGTGCTGATGACAAATACCTCAATGCAGAAGGTATGGGAAATGTCAGAATCATTCTAAACAATGGGAAAGCAGTTGTGATCCAGAATGTTTGGTATGTACCTGGCATGAAAAGCAATCTGATGAGTGTGGGACAACTGGTTGAGAAAGGTTTTTCAGTTACCATGAAGGACAATCTTCTGAAGCTGTATGACTGTAATCAGAAGCTGATTATGGAGTCAGAACAAGAAAGGAACAGAACATTCAAGGTGAATGTTAGAACTGCAGACTCTGAATGTCTTAGTGCAACAAGTGTTGTCAAGGAGAGTAAGCTGTGGCACAGAAGATTTGGTCATCTGAATTTTAGAAGTTTAGGGCATCTGAAATCAAAGAATCTGGTACATGGAATTCCTAAAATCAAGAAGCCTGAAAAGTCATGCAAGGTGTGCATGGAAGGGAAGCAACCAAGATTACCCTTTGCATCAGAAGTAGCTCTAAGAGCAAAACATGCCTTGAGAGTAGTACATTTTGATGTGTGTGGTCCATTTGCAGTAGCATCGACTGGAGGGAATAAATATTTTGTGTCATTTGTTGATGAGTTCACCAGAATGACATGGGTATCTCTCATAAAGTTCAAACATGAGGTGTTTGCTGAATTCAAAAGGTTCAGACTGAAGGCTGAGAATCAGAGTGGCCAGACTCTGAAAATTCTTAGAACTGATGGTGGTGGTGAGTATAACTCCACAGAATTCAGAAGTTTCTGTGAGGAGAATGGAATTGAGCATGAGGTTACTTCTCCATATACTCCTCAACATAATGGTCTTGCTGAAAGAAGAAATTGTACTTTGCTAGATATGGTGAGAAGCATGTTGAAAGAGAAGAAGCTTCCTCATACTCTGTGGGGAGAAGCTGTTGCAACTGCATGTTATGTGCTCAACAGATGTCCAACAAAGAAATTAAAGAAAATAGTTTCTATTCAGAAGTGGACTGGAGATAAGCAAAGTGTTAGTCATCTGAAGGTATTTGGTTTTGTATGTTACAAACATGTCCCATAAGTCAGAAGATAAAAGTTGGATGATAGAAGTAAAGTGATGTTATTGGTGGGGTATCACAGTACAGGTTCGTACAAACTTTATTGTTCAGAAACTAACAAAGTTGAGTTCAGCAAAGACATCATTGTAGAGGAATCAGAAGTTTGGAATTGGGAAAAATCTCGTCCTGACTTTGATGGCAGAACTTGTGAAGAAAGGTCAGAAATACATGTTTCTGAAGCTAGTAAAGACTCTGACTCTGAAGAAGATACAGAAGGAGAAGATGATTCTGACTCTGACTCCGATGGTGATCCAGACTCTGAAGACAGTCAAAGTTCTGGAGAAAGTCCAATTGCTGAAGCAAGTGGTTCTGAAGGGAAAAGCTCTGGTGTCCAAAGTTCTGAAGGTCCAGTTCAGAGGCAACAAAGAGTCAGAAGCATCCCAAGAAGATTTGCAGAGTTTGACATGTTGCTAGACACTGAAGTAAACTCTGAAGGAGAAGTTACTCAGTGTGCAATGTTAGTAGACTGTGAACCCGTGAGTACGAAAGAGGCTCTTAAACACCAAGTTTGGTTACAGGCCATGAAAGAAGAACTTGATGCTATAGAGAGAAACAAGACTTGGAAGCTAACATAACTTCTAAAAGGCAAGAAAGCCATCAGCGTCAGATGGGTTTTCAAGCAGAAGCTAAAGCCAGATGGATCAATTGGCAAACACAAAGCAAGATTAGTAGCAAGAGGCTTTCTACAAAATCCTGGGATGGATTACTTTGAAGTGTTTGCACTTGTAGTGAGACATGAAATAATCAGACTAGTGATTGCAATAGTTGCTAACATGAATTGGCCTCTGATGCATTTAGATGTAAAATCTGCATTTCTGAATGGTCCATTACAAGAAGAGGTGTACTTTTCATAACCTCCTGGATTTGAGAAAAAGAATCAGGAAGGGATGGTGTTCAAATTACACAAAGCATTGTATGGATTGAAGCAAGCGCCCAGTGCTTGGAGCTTGAAGATTGATTCGTTTTTCAATGAACAAAGATTTCAGAAGTGTGAGATGGAGTATGGTGCTTATGTTCAGCACACTTCAGAAGGTAATATGATTCTGGTCTGTTTGTATGTTGATGACATATTACTCACAGGAAGTTCTGAACAAGAGATAGTTGAGTTCA